ATGATAAAATAAATCATATAATATTAAGTTATCAATCAAATAGATACCAAACTATTTATCCGATAAAAATCTTAACAGTAATCAGTGAACACAATAGGTTTACTAAATTAGTTATGGATTGCAATAGATTTTTCAATAGTCAAACATTTCTATTATATTTTATGTCAACTCCATGTATATTAATAGTAATTTTTATTATATTTATTGAAAATAACTTAATTATTGCCAGACATCCGACAATGTATATACAAATGCGCCTAAAATTGCTTATATATGTCGAGCGACTGTCGGGACCAACAATTGGTATCTATTGTTACGATTTGTTTCCAATAAATAGTTTTGAATTATTTCAATACTATTATATTTGCGGTCAATTAATGTTAACTTTAGCCTCATTTGTTTAAATATTATATATAAATATATATTCCTTAATATAATATAAAATTTTAAAGTTTATAAATATATTTATTTTCATAAAGTTTATTGATTTCCACTAATAACTATTAAATATAAACTTATTATTATATAATATCATATTTATTAATAAATTGTCTCATAAATAGAATATTGTAATATATTAATATATAAAAATAAATTACTATTAAATTTAATTAATAGGTACTAATATAAATATACTAAAAATTATTGTTTATTATAGAGATTCAAATTATTATATATAAATTTAATATTTAAAAAATTTATCAAACAATATTTATTTTATAAAAAAAAATTATTATTTATAAATTAACTATTATTTATAATATTATTTAAAGATCTAGAATGAGCTAGAATATTTTTTTTTATAATTAATATTAAATTAAATTAATTATAGATTTTCTTTTGAATTAGCAATAAATATAAGAAAAACAAAAATTTTTAGAATAATTATTATTAAAATAAATTTTATAATAATTATTTTATTGCATTAACTATTATTATTATAATTAATATTTTACGTATGTTAATCAAAAAAAATATAATTTATTTAAAGCATAATAAATTAATTATTTAATATGTATATTTATATATCAAAACACAATTAGTTATTTATAATAAATGAAATAATAAAAAAATATTAGAAATTAAATTAGTATAAAAATATAAAGAAATTATGTTTTAACAATTAATATTAAAATAATAACAATTTAATATACTTTTAAATATTTATTGTATAACTACAATATTATATTTGTAATATATTAAAATTTTACTAATTAAAAACATTTATTATATATTAAAAATTTGTAAACAATTTAATTAATTTTAACAATCATTTTAAATATATATAACTTTCATTAGATTATGACAGCAATTATCAGATCAATGATAAAGATTTATAAAAGTTATCAATCATTTGATTCAGTGATCAATATATTCAATGAAATTCGTAACAAATACTATATAACTATTTATGATTCAATAGACGACTATCTAAGGGGACAGTTGTCTACTAAACGTATAGTATTGGTACTGTTATCACATCTATTGGTTTTGATTAATGGCATAAAATTTACAACAATAGGTCTTATGAATGAAGTAATGAAATTTAGATATTGTAAATAATTTTTTAGTATAATTTTTACTATAAAATTTATCATGTCTTACAGCTTTGGCTTAGGGATCTATTTGCTGATCCATCCTATCTGATTGATACAACATTCCTATTTCCATCGCTGATAAGTATCGGATCGTTTGGTATAACAATAGGATTTTGTCTAAATAGTTATCATGAATACAAACATACAATGTATTACTGGGATATGTTATCGCAAATCAATAGTCAAACATTTCAACATTCAATACAACCGAAACAATTGAAACGATTTTCATTGAAATTTAATCTAATTTATCTATATTTAACATTCATGTCGTATTTATTTTTATTATTAAGCAATACTGTCTATATTTATTTGTATTACTGGGCACTGGTAACTGATTTTGATATCAGTAGCTATCGATGGCTCATAAGACTAATTATAAATCTATTATTAAATATAATATTTATATTTAAATCATTGGGTACAGTTAATTTAATATTTATGCTTTATTATTCCTATTCAAGTATGATAAAAATGATATTCAATGAACTAAATAATAAATTTAATAAAATATTATTAACTTATCGATCAAATAAATGGCAAACTATTTATCCGAAAAAATTATTAATAGAAATCAATGAACACAATAGGGTTACTAAATTGGTTATGGATTGCAATAGATTTTTAAATAGTCTAACATTTCTATTATATTTTATGTCAACTCCATGTATACTAATTGTAATTTTTTGTATATTTAGTGAAAATTATTTAATTATTGGTAAAATTACTTTTATATTTTCATTTATCTCAATGTTTTCATTATTGTTTTCTATAAACTCAATGAGCACTTGGATCAGTATACCAGCTCATTTACCATTAAATCAATTATACAGTTATCTGGCCAGACATCCGTCAATATTCATACAAATGCGCCTAAAATTGCTTATATATGTCGAGCGACTGTCGGGACCAACAATTGGTATCTATTGTTACGATTTGTTTCCAATAAATAGTTTTGAATTATTTCAATACTATTATATTTGCGGTCAATTAATGTTCACTTTAGACTCATTTGTTTAAATACTATACATATATAAATAAATTACTAAAATAAAATTGTAATAATCAAAATATGTATAATAATTTACTGTATAATAATTTTAATAATAATCATTTTTTTAATGACTTTCACTAATCAATATTTAATTTATAAAAACAATATAAATTTAATTAAAATTATTATTAAATTTATATTTTTTCCACTTTATATTTTTTTTATTTCTAACATAAAATTATTATATTTTGTTTTTATTAATTTAAGTTATTAAGTTACTATAGTAATTAAATTTATTTTAAAAATTTTAACATTTAAAAAATTTCTAATCAATATATTTTCATAAAATAATTATTATTTACAACATAACAATAATAATAAAATCTATAATATAATAAATTTATATTATTGAATAAATAATAATCAGAATTTTTATAATACATTGACTAATGATTTTTAAATTTCTACTTAAAAATTAATAACTATTAAATCCATTTTATATATAAAATAATTACAGTTTATTAAATATTTTTGATTAATATATAATATATTTTTTATGAACTAATAATAATTAGTTTTATATATAATTTAGTTTATTTAAGTTATTTATTTAAAAATTATCTGTATATAATTAAATAAATAAATAGTTTTTTTTATAAAATATATATTTAATATTACTATTGATTTTGTTTTAATTTATATTAGATATGGTTTTGCTAATTATAAAATAATTTTGTTTAAAATTTAAATATGTTTTTTTTAAATAATTTATTTATTAGAAAATAAATTTTTATACAATACTGTGTATAATAATATCTATAATAATGTTATTTAATATTCAATAAATAATTAATAATCAATAAGACTGTTATCGACATAATTTAAATAATAAACAATGAAAGTTAATAAAAATAACAATTAGCTTATTATTATACACTATATATATATACAATTATTGATTAATAATTAATATGAAATTTTTATTGTATATTCAAAACATTTAGTATATTTATATGAATATGAAATAATCTAAAACAATATTTATTTAAATATATAAATGACTATAAAATAAATTATTATAGTAAGCATAGAAAATAATATAAAATTAATACAAATAAACACAAATAAAAATAAACTTAACATTAGATGTACAACTATAAGGATGTGGGGTATATAAATGATTTAGTATAGAAAATATACACAACTATAGGGATGTGGGGTATCAATAACTTGGATTGATTCAATATCAATTAATAAGTAATATAATAATATAAAATAATTTTATATATTTAGTAGTTATCAGTATTAATCATTAAACATTATAAAAACTTATATAAAAATTTATATTGATTTTATAATTTAAAAAACTAATAATGAAAGTTAAAAACATTCAAAAAATTTAATTATTAAAATTATTTTACAATAAAAATATATATTGATTATTACAGCATTATTTTAGTAAATTATATTTAAACAGTGTTTAGATAAATGAGGCTAATGTTAACATTAATTGACCGCAAATATAATAGTATTGAAATAATTCAAAACTATTTATTGGAAACAAATCGTAACAATAGATACCAATTGTTGGTCCCGACAGTCGCTCGACATATATAAGCAATTTTAGGCGCATTTGTATAGATATAGTCGGATGTCTGGCCAGATAACTAAATAATTGTTTTAGTGGTAAATGAGCTGATCTACTGATCCAAGTGCTCATTGAGTTTATAGAAAACAGTAATGAAAACATTGAGATAAATAAAAATAAAGCTGTGATTTTACCAATAATCAAGTTATTTTCAATAAATATAGTTAACATTACTATTAGTATACATGGAGTTGACATAAAATATAATAGATATGTTTGACTATTGAAAAATCTATTGCAATTCATAACCAATTTAGTAACCCTATTGTGTTCACTGATTATTTTTAATAATTTTATCGGAATAATTGTTTGCCATTTATTTGATCGATAACTTAATATTATTTTATTTATTTTATCATTTAGTTCATTGAATATCATTTTTAATATACTTGAATAGGAATAATAAAACATAAATAGTGAAATAACTGTACCCATTGATGTATATATAAATTTAATACTTAATAATAGATTTATAATTAATGTTATTAGCCATCGATAGGTATTGGTATCAAAATCAGTTACCAGTGCCCAGTAATACAAATAAATATAGCAAATATTGCATAACAACAAAGATATATACGACATATATGTTAGATATATATAAATTAGATTTAATTTCAATGATAACCGTTTCAATAGTTTCGGTTGTATTGGATGTTGAAATGTTTGACTATTGATTTGCGATAACATATCCCAGTAATACAGTGTATGTTTGCATTCATGATAACAAGTTAAACAAAATCCTAAAGTTATGCCAAACGATCCGATACTCATCAGCGATGGAAATAGGAATGTTGTATCCAATAGATAGGATGGATCACCCAATAGATCCCTAATCCATAGCTATAAGCAAATTAAATATTAAACTTAAAATTAAATTACTGAAAAATTATTTACAATTTAAATTTAATTACTTTATTGTTAAAACCTATTGTTGTAAATTTGATGCCATTTATCAAAACCAATAGCTGTGACAACAGTACCAATACTAGACGTTTGTTAGACAACTGTCCCATTAAATAGTCGTTTAATGAATCATAAAGAGATATATAGTATTTGTTACGAATTTTATTGCATATATTGATCACTGAATCAAATGATTGATAACTTTTATAAATCTTTATCATTGATCTGATTATTGATGACATAATTCAAATAAAATTATATTTTTACTACAGTTTTATTATAGTATTTATTTATTTTAATAATTATTTTATTAATTTTATATTTAATTTGTTAACTAGTTTTTATATATAAAGTAATATTAAATATTTTAACAAGAAAGTACTTATATTTTTATGCTAAAATTATATTAAATAATTATTATTTAAAACTTTTAAAACTTCCATATTATTTATAATCTAAAATTTTTAAATAATTTCAAAATTATATATCTTATAATTAATTCTTAATTAAACATGTTTATGATTATTTAAGATAGAAATATTTAATTTTAGTAATTAATTTGTGTTTTTATATTTATATAAATATTATATATTAGACTATTTATTATGATTTACATAAATGTTTTCTAATAACACACGCAAAATATTAATAATAATAATAATAATAATAATATTCAATGCAATCATATTATTATTAATAAAATAAATTTATTTTATTTATAATTATTCTAAAAAATTACTTGAATTTATTGCTAATTCTATAAATAAAAAATCTGTAAATTATTTGAATAATAATTAATTATAAATAATTAAATCCTAGTATATTCTAGATCTTATTTTTATTAATAAAATAGCTATTTTTATATATAATTATTATTTTTTATTAGTTTTATTATATTATATTATTTATTATATTATGTATTTAATATGAATTATGTATTAGTTTAGTAGTTAACTTGTTAACTAATTTTTAATAATATAATTTATATTAAATAACTTTTCTTAAAAATTTCTATATTAATTTATAATCAAAAAATTTTTAAATAATTTCAAAAGTAATAATATTTATACTATAAATTAGTTATTTAATTAAACATGTTAGTAATAGTTAAGTAACATTATTGATGATTATAATTAATTTGTATGTAATATTTATATAAAAAATATTTATTTATTTATTTTAATATTTAATTTATTTCATTATACTTGTTAATGTATATAAATGTAGTCTATTAACACACGCAAAATATTAATCATAATATATTAATATTCAATGCAATCATATTATTATTAATAAAATAAATTTATCTTATTATTTGAATTTAGTTTTAATTCATAAAAAATCTATAAATTATTTTAATAAAAATAATAAATTATAAAAAATTATATTCTAGTATATTCTAGAATCTATATCTTATTAATAATTATTATTAGCCATTATTATTAATATAATACACATAATTATGTTATAAATAATTATTTTATAAAATATATATTGATTATAACTTTTTAACTAAATTAATTAAATCAATAAATTTATAGATAAAATTATTTAGTAAATTCATAAATTATTATTTTAGCTAATAGCAACTTATAATAATAATAAAAATATATTATTAAAAAATACATAAATTAATAACATAAACAGTATATAAATCATTTTATATTAGCCATAAAATATGCTTATAGTGCCTAATAAATTAAAATAAATAGTTAAATTTAAAAATACTATTTATTATTATCTTTTTTTTGTATGAGACAAATTAATTAAAAAAAATATTATTATGTAATATAATAAAATATAATTTTATATTTAGTAGTTATCAGTATTAATCACTAAACATTATAAAAACTTATATTAAATTTTAAAAATAAATAATGAAAGCTAATAAAAACAACAAATTTTAAATATTAAATTAATTTTACAATAAAAACATATATTGATTATTACAATATTATTTTAGTAAATAATTTAAAAAGTATTTATATAAATGAGGCTAAAATGAATATTAATTGACCGCAAATATAATAGTATTGAAATAATTCAAAACTATTTATTGGAAACAAATCGTAACAATAGATACCAATTGTTGGTCCCGACAGTCGCTCGACATATATAAGCAATTTTAGCCGTATTTGTATGGATATTGTCGGATGTCTGGCCAGATAACTGTATAATTGTTTTAGTGGTAAATGAGCTGATCTACTGATCCAAGTGCTCATCAAGTTAACAGATAACAGTAATGAATACATTGACATAAATGAAAATAAATAACTAATTTTACCAATAATTAAGACTTTTTTAGTAAATATACAAAACATTATAATTAGTATACATGGAGTTGACATAAAATAAAATATAAATATTAGACTATTAAAAAATCTATTGCAATCCATAACCAATTTAGTAAACCTATTGTGTTCATTGATTATTATTACTAATTTTTTCGTATAAATAGTTAGCCATTTATTTGATCGATAAGTTTTATCAATTATTTTCATAATTCTATCATTTAGTTCATTGAATATCATTTTCAATATACTTGAATAGGAATAACAAATCAAAAATATTGTAATTACTGTACCCATTGACTTGAATACAAATATTGTAATTAATATGAGATTTATAATTAGTGTTATTAGCCAACGATAGGTAGTAGTATCAAAATCAGTTACCAGTGCCCTATAATACAAATAAATACTAATACTATCAACAAATAATAATAGTATATACGTATTGAATGACAGATATTGATAGATTAGATTAAATTTCAATGAAAATCGTTTCAATTGTTTCGGTTGTATTGGATGTTGAAATGTTTGACTATTGATTTGCGATAACATATCCCAGTAATACAGTGTATGTTTGTATTCATGATAACTATTTAGACAAAAAAACCTATAGTTATACCAAACGATGCGATACTTATTAATGATGGAAATAGAAATGTTTTATCAATCAGATAGGATGGATCACCCAATAGATCCTTAACCCATAGCTATAGACATATTAAATAATATACAAAAATAAATTTAATTACAAAAAAAATATTTACAAACTTTTTTACATTATTGATTAGACCTATTGTTGTAAATTTGATGCCATTAATAAATATCAATAGATGTGATAACAGTACCAATACTATACGTTTATTAGTCAACTGTCCCGTTTGATAGTCGACTATTGAATCATAAATAGTTATATAGTATTTGTTACGAATTTCATTGAATATATTGATCACTGAATCAAATGATTGATAACATTTATAAATCTTAATCATTGATCTAATTATTGATAACATAATTCAAATAAAATTATATTTAAAATATTATTATTAAAAAATATTATACTATTTATTTATTATAAAAATTATTATTTTATTAATTTTATCGTTAATTTGTTAACTTTTTTTTATGTATAAATTATAATTAAATATTTTATTACATATTAACTTTATGATTATTTAAGATAGTAATATATTGTAACCGTGTTTGCTACCAGTACACTGTTTAGTTAGAAATAGACATGTTTGTTAAGGTATGTGACATACATTTCCGTCCCATACTGTTATTGGAATGACGGTTGAGTTGGTGCGCACAACTCAGCTGTTGGTGGGGTATAACCAGAAAGGGAGGGAGAGTGAGAAGGGCAGAACAGTTTCTAGATGTATGGTAACAACTCAGTCTTCCGCCGCCATCAAATTACCTCTAGCTTTATTGTTGTATTTTTAATTGTGAGTTTAGTTGTGTTTAAAATAAATATAGCCTCATGTGTGAATAGTATTGTGTATTCATTGTGTTGGCAACCGTAACTACGACCGGGAATTGGTTGGACGACCGCCCGATAGGGAGAGGTCCCTGACGACGACGATAGGACGAGTGAAGTAACGATGGAGAAGAAGCCGACGACGTCTGACCAGAAGAGGACAGGGATGGCGATAAAGTCGACGCTTTTATCAGAACTGGGGATCCAAATGCCCAATAAAACCACATTCGACATTTTCCGACTTCAGGTAAGACCAAAGAGGGAAAAACGCAAATCTATATTTGATAACATATAACCAAAAGAAAATTATGGTAAGTAATATTTTATTTTATTTTATTTTGTTTTGTCTAGGCGTAATAAATTTTGTTTTGTTGTTGTTATTTTATAAAACATATTATTTTCCCAAATTATTAATTAAATGATTTAATATTATAGCCGGACAAAATCGGCCGGTATAGGTGATAACAAAATTACTTAACTTAAGGGCGATGCTAGCAATGTTTACGGTAAATGTGACAAATTGCGGCGGCTGCGGTGGCGGTAGCGGCGGGTGCCGCTGTTAATAATTTATTAAACGAATTATTACATTTTAAAACTTTTTTATTACAAACTTTTTATCAATCAAAATAAATACAATAATAACATAACTAACTAGATTTGACTTAAAACAACAAGTATACGACTACTCAGATAATTAGATACTTAGATACTTTACTGTTGGTTCGCGAAGCCAACAGTTTTATATCACTGCCATTGGGTTGGGCATGTACGTGTCATTACTATATATGGCAACGACACATACATTTCCAATCCAATGATGGCATTGCTCGCATACCTTTCCCTATTAGGAAAGCTATGCGACTATAATCGGCATCCTGACAACTAGGTCGGTCTCCGACCTAGCATATCAAAAAATTACAATAAATGTATTAAAATAAAGTAAAGCAAAATCTCTAAAAATTGCATGCATTACATGAGCTCAATCATCGATGTACGAGTTCCGGTTGTACATTCTAACACGTGTGATCCAAAGACACCTCTTGATAGGTCATCGATATCGATATTAAAACCGTCGATCTGGCCACCAATGCCAATCGACAAAAAAAATACATCGACCCGATATCCAATCAGGTCAAACACGACTTACAACACGTCGGACGTCTCCGAAGTGATGCGCATCTATATGAGCCTAATAAGCGCTCCCTATAGAATAGTCAGTACTGAAAAATAACCCGGGGTTTCCATGAACCCCCTGCTAATCGTTATATTATAATTATCTTGTGTCAAACAAAATATTTATAAGATAACAAATGATTTCTGTCTATTTGTGTTAAGTATCTGTGTG